ATCCACCACTAACAGTGTCTGAATTACTTTCCCTAGTCAATTCACTTTCAAATGTATCCAAAAAATATCGAATTTTGGCCATTTTAGAGCCACACAAGTGATAGATCTACACTGGCATTAGTGGCTTGTGGCCTGATCAACAAGCTTTCAAAACATCCCTCTGTTTTGAAAGCAAAATACTCTTCTCCTAAGCCAGAATGGTAGAAATATTCTGATTGGTTGGAGGTTAGGCCAATGAGAAATCACTTTAGGAATCCCCAAATATTTAGTTGGAAGGCAGAAGCAGCAGTTTACTATATGGTCCTATGAGATCGGCCCTGCCAGTTCCATGGCAGGAAATAGGCTGATCTAATCGGCCCTTGCCAGAGTTAGGGTTAAAAGAATAACCTTGTTTTCCGTGCCAGAGTTAGGGTTAAAAGAATAACCTTGTTTTCCGTGCAGGCATGAAGGACAATCAACAGATCCGCTTCTCGGGCGAGGGCGACCAGGAGCCCGACCTTGAGCCCGGCGACATCGTCATCGTGCTGGACGAGCAGGAGCATGAGCGGTTCCGTCGCCGTGGCAACGACCTCATCATGAGCATGCAGCTGGAGCTGGTGGAGGCGTTGTGTGGCTTCCAGAAGACAGTGGCCACGCTGGACAACCGCACGCTGGTGGTGACTAACTTGCCAGGTAACTCGCGCTCTCCTTCTCTTTTCTTTCTCCGACCATCTTGCCAGGTAACTCGCGCTGTCCTCCTCTTTCTCTTTCTCCAACCATCTTGCCAGGTAACTCACGCTCTCCTCCTCTTTTCTTTCTCCAACCATCTTGCCAGGTAACTCGCGCTCTCCTCTTTCTCTTTCTCCGACCATCTTGCCAGGTAACTCGCGCTCTCCTCTTTCTCTTTCTCCGACCATCTTGCCAGGTAACTCGCGCTCTCCTCTTTCTCTTTCTCCAACCATCTTGCCAGGTAACTCGCGCTCTCCTCCTCTTTTCTTTCTCCGACCATCTTGCCAGGTAACTCGGGCTCTCCTCCTTTTCTTTCTCCGACCATCTTGCCAGGTAACTCGTGCTGTCCTCCTCTTTTCTTTCTCCTAGTCTGAAATTATATATCTACACCAAATGTTTAATATTTTAACGTTTAAGATCAAGCAACTCGTACACAGCCGTGCAGTGAACTACGTATAAAAAACAAACTAACTTGTGTTTCGCGCGCTCATATGGCCTTATGCAGTTGCGAGCGCCATAAGACCCCATACTAAACTGTTTTCTTTCCCCGACAAACTTGCCCGGTAACTCGCGCTCTCCTCCTCTTTTTTCCTGACGAACCAAATGGACCAATGTTGTGGTTTTTTGTTGTTGTTTTTTTTTTAAATTTTCTCTGACGAACAAAATGAACTGTTTTGTTTTGGTTTTTTTCTTTTCTCTGACAAACCAAACGAACCGTTGTGTTTTGTTTATTTTCTTTTCTCTGACAAACCAAACGAACCAATGTTATGAACTCTTTGTTTCTCTTTCGTCAAATCGACTACATAAATGTTTTTATAAATAGAAAATGTTTTTCCCTTTTCTCCGACAAACCAAATGAACCTTTGTTGTGAACTCAGTTTCTGTTTTCCTCAAATCAGCTTAATAATTATCATGATGACATTTTTAAAAACATTTTTTCCACATTGACAAAATATCCTTTGTTATGAAATAGAAACGGTTTTTTTCTTTTCCTCTAATCAACTAAATAACCTCCAGTATGAAATTTTTAAATTTTTTTTCCTCAAATCAATTAAATAACCTCCAGTATGAAATTTTTTATTTTTTTTTCCTCAAATCAATTAAATAACCTCCAGTATGAAAT